ATCTGATCGTCTCTCCACTTCAACCATTCTTCTTGTTCTCGCCCTTTTTGCATCATTCGCAAGGCGTTTTGACCTTTCCTGTTCATTTTCCAGTAATCGTTTCAATCTAGCCCTTTCCACCAATGAGGCAAGGCGATGTTTCCGTTCATCTTCAGTTTCACTGGATCTCTTAGACGCCACTCGTCTCGCATCAATCGCAAGACGTGATTGGTGTTCATGATCAGTCTCTTCAAGTCGACATCCTGACTGCTCAGTAGTGCTGAGTAAGTCTGTGGCGGTGAGTTGTCCTGATTCCCCATGGTATTCTTGTGTACCGGAAATCAGAACCTCGGATATGCGAGGTTCGTTTGAATTTCCTCTATTCTGCCCGTTTGGGTCAGACTAAATCATGATAATGATCAATAAGGAATTCCAACAAATGACAGGCTAACCATTAGTTGAGTATCAATCGAAGCAACCGCAGTGGTGGCTTCGAAGTAGTGCGAGAGTGGTAATTGTTGGCTGTCCTACATAGAAAACATGCGAATTAGTGAAACCACTGAAAGTGCAATCTTACCAAAGCTTCCAATCCATAAGCACGAGATGTGCTTGGAAATTGACTATGTACATAGCCTTCTCCACGGTCGTGCTGTACCGAACTTTCTTGGGAATTCTGCTCAATCTTATCGCTCTTGGTAATTCTAGTTCGTTCTTTTAGCACAGCGGATCGTCTTGCTCTCGCCCTTTCCGCATCTTTCGCGAGACGGACTGACTTCTCCTCTTCAGATTCAACTGATCTTTTGAGCTTAGCCCTCTTAGCTAGAGCTGCAAGTCGTAACCTACGCTCGTGATCAGTCTCACTGGCTCTTTCAGATGCTGCTCGTTTGGCATGCGCCGCTAGACGTTGTCGGCGTCTGTCAGCATGAGTTTCAGAACTTCGCGGAGCTGCTAAGTCCGCATCATTTTCTTGCTGAATTTCACTCGATGAGTTCGACGCAAGCTAAAGTCATAATTCTAATTGCTTCTATCAAAAAGGAATTTGTATGTTGTAAACTGTTCACCATTTCGTTTTCATCTAGGTAGGCGGCATTCGAAGGAGAGCATTGTTGACTTTCCTCAAGCTCGCCAGATAAGGCCTGGGTATGCGAGGAACTCAATGAATTGTATGTGTCAACGGTGTTTATTGCCAGATCTTGTTCAAAAGCCGGTGTTGCTCCTTCAGTATTTGAGAAATGCGTATTCATCTGTAGCACAACTTGTAGCGAAATAAGCAGTGTACGATACGCGTAGAGTTACGAAACGTCACCTACTTAAAAGGTGATGTAAATCGGCACATAAATAGGATTAAAAGCTTGAAGTATTCGGCGTTTACTTGTGAAGAAGAAGTGGTTTCAAATCGCCTCTATATGCTAAGTTCTTTAAGCATTTTCTACACAGCATCTTTCACAATGAACCCGACTGCATAGAGTACATTGATGACCATGCCTCAGTGAATATGCAGCCGTCCAGCGAATGTTTTCGCTAAGTCAAAAGCTGGAACCTGGTGCCCCTCATTTCTCAAAGACTGCAAATACTGTTCTTTCATCTACTGATACTGGAGTACTGATACTGGAGTCAACCAATGTAAACAATTGCACAATATGGAATCAATCAACATTTGGTTCCAGATTGGTACAATATTCGAGAAGTTTAAAAGTGCATATGCGAATATGGACGCGCATTCAAAACCTAGGATCCGTTCCAGCGAAGTCTGCCTAAATTGAAAAAACTCCACTCGCAATTCTATTGCTTATCGTATCTCGAAATGGAACCTAGCTATTATTGAAGCACACAGATTGTTTTATTTAGCTTCTTCTTCTTCTTCTTCAAAAAAAAAGAATCGGCAGAGTGATGTGGATGTCTCAAAACAATTAACGATGAACAGATTAGACTTGCTTAGAATAGAAAATTGCGCTAGAATTCCGTCGTTCAGGCGACATAAGCAGTAGCAGCAGCAGCAGCAGCAGCAGGGTTTTTCAAACCATCATCTTCCTTTCTGGTTGAGTACACAAAAGGTTCGAAGAGGAAAATAGCATTTTTCAAATCCCTGCTGAAGGCAATGAAGATGTTTTAAAGTAAGTCCAGGATTGTTGCTTTTTGAAAAACAGCTCTTAGGTGATTACGAATACTCTTCCCCAGCGAAAGTAATTTCGAAAGAAACATGTCAAAATAGAACACAATCTGTCAATTTTTGTGACACGTGGCAAGGACCTAGCCCTCGTAGAATCTATGTTATCACTATTATATAAGTTCAAAAGTCCAGCTTTACACAGAGAACAAATCTTTGTAGAAGCATACTTGCAGAAAACACCATAGATAATTTGATTTAAAACCTAATAATCGATGCAGGTTAATTGTTTGAAACATATGACAGAATTGATTTACACGGTAGTGCAACGGCCAAGAAGCATTTTGCAAATGGGAGTTCCAAGAAAGCATAAAATTGAAAAAAAATAGAGCAAAAGGGGCCAAAAATTCAACTGAAATGAACGCAGACTTTTTTCGATTTGCTTAATTGCATGAATTCGGTTGACGAAGCAAGGATCAAAACATTGACTTTTGCACTCAAAACCTTAACATACATTTGTTGAATTTGTATGTCATTTTGAAAGCGAAATTGAAACATTAATTGGTGCGCGTTGATGCCAGAGCAAGTGAAAAAACTGTAGCAAATCGGCAGAAGATTCTGACAAATTTGAAATCGTGAGTGAAAAAACTGTAGCAAATCGGCAGAAGATTCTGACAAATTTGAAATCGTGTGCGTCGATGGTTTGGAAGCCTAACTGGAATAATGTAGAGAGAGACTGATCAGTCAACATGTTAGACTGTACTTTTGTACCCACAACCATGTTACCGTCTTGAATTTTCTGGAAGCTCTTAAATGTTTGCGCAGTATATGGCCTGGCGAATGCCAAGGATCACTTCTCGATCGCTCTTTGGAGTCAACATCAGTCGTTTGCGTATATATGACCTGGCGAATGCCAAGGATCACTTCTTGATCGCTCTTTGGAGTCGGCATCAGTTGTTTACGCAGTATATGGCCGTCTGGCGAATGCCAAGGATCACTTCTTGATCGCTCTTTGGGGCGCATATACAGACATGTTTACGTGGACATACAGACGCGCTGACTCACATGGGGGTGCTTGCGCTTTATATAGAGTAGGATGAAGCAGCTGCATTGCTTGCATGATGATGTATCCGTGCCAAAGTTTTTGGGGTTTTTTTCAGGACTAGCCTTCAACTACGGAGCTAAAAACCAGATAAAGGGGTGATTGCAATAGTAAAAACAGTGGTTTTGGTGAAATGACGCCTGCGTGGCCAGAACAAATGCTCAACATTGCTGATTTTTTTCTGGCCAACTGCCAGTCTTGTGAACTTCTACATATTATGTGCTTACTTCATTCTAGGACTTTAGAAGCTGAGTTTCGAGGCTCGAAATTGCGCTAACTCTACAGTAAAGATGGAACTTATTCGAAAAACGGCACGAAAACGCGAAGATTTTCCAAGCGTCAAACAAAATATTTATCGAGAAAGTTAATTTTATCTCATAGCCTTGATAGAAGCTAATTAGAGTGCGTAAACCATAGAAAGACAGACGTTTTTGGAGCGCAATGACTCCAAAAGCATTTAGGCTTGAGATATACCTGACGATAGGTCGCTATAGCTGACGATAAGACGCTGCCAGCAGCAACGCCTTTTGTGCGTATCGATTGACGCCAGGCGACGCTGCTGCTTCTAGCTGCTGCAGCCAGCGTGAAACATACCCGCTATAGCTAGCGATGCTGCGCTGCTCTGCGCTGCTGCTTGCTGCTCGTTGCTGCTCGTAGCTGCTCCTCGCTGCTACGCGATATGAAGCTCACTTTTGGTGAGCTTCTCTCAGCTGCTTCATGCTGCTAACGCTGATTTTGCTCGGATTTGCCCCTTTTTAACATATTTTTTAACTTCTGAAGCATTTCTAGAGCGCTTGTTGCGATACCGGGCTGTGACAAATTTGCAAGACCAAAAGTCGACAAAAAATTGAATCTGAACAACTGCACAGAACGTTGGCGAAGCAAAAATCAAATCAAATTGGAGTAACGATAAAAAGCTAGAGGATCTTGACAATTTAGTGGGATGTTACCAGATACATCTCAATACTTTAACGGCAGCTATGACCTGAATTGACCCAGTTGTTGCCTCAAGCACACATCAAGATTCTACTGCGACACTCGCTTGCATATATGTCAAATGATTATGATTTTCACAGTATATGCAACATTTTGCCACTTTATGCTTGTTGTGAAGAAAATCTTTTGATGAGGACAGGATCACTTCTGAATCTCATATAATCATATTTTTCAATTTTGGTAGTTCTCAAGACTTACTTTCCTAATGGCTTAATCTAAGCGGAGTAATGGGTAAAGCTATTTCGTTCTTGCACCCAAAACGTACTCAGCGCAGCAGCCACGAGCAGCTAAAGGCAGCGCACACATCAGCGATTCGCCAACACCCGCTATACCTCTATCGTCAGGTATATCTCAAGCCTTAAAGCCATCTGGGATAAGTAACGCTTCTCTTTTTGAACTGCACTGGGCTCAGTGTATAGCAGGCATTTCACACTATGTTATTGTAACTCCACAAAAAATTTGGACCCGAAAGATTGCAGTCTTGAATGAAAAATGGACCTTGGTTTGAGGTGTTCGTATAATTATGAACCGCTCAAAATTCGCATTAGGCGCAAAAACACTCCTATAATTGACATCGATTTTCATTCTTATGGATCATATACCATTTTCGGCTGTGCTCTTTCGCGTGGTACCAACGGCTTTGTGAGTTTCTTCCAAAAAGTCCAGAAACCTCTAAAGTTTGGGGTGTTCGTATAATTATGAACCGCACTTTAGGAAGAAGATCGATGGCGCACACATAAACCCAAGCACAAAAGACTAAGTAAATTGACTTTCCTAGTGCGTTTTTCTAATTCTGGTAAGAAGCTTTCAACTTACCAGCTATTTTGTTTATGCTTTCACAAGACATTATTGGTGTCCTATGAATCCTGCCATGGAAACGTCCAAACGCTTCTTCCACTCCTTTTGCATCGACCACCATTCCTATAAGAAAGAACTAGAAAAGAATGGCGTGACAGTGACCATCCGTTTCAACTTCGACGGATCAAAATTAGAATAGTGTCGATAAGTGATCCCCCTAATGGAATTTTTAATGATAACCACAACTATAGCAGGCTAACAGATCTGTTGTATTATCTGCAAAAGTTCTTCGCAAAGCTTTCTCTTTTTTATTTGCAACGTTTGGATTTTTGCGACCTAAATCCGAATTATCATAATTTGAAGGGATCTTCTCGGCGTCGAATTTACATTTTTGTTCTCAGTGTCAGTAAAAAAAACCGTGTGAAGATTACAAAGCGTATTCCCTATACCGCATTCCGCATTCTCTACAGACATTCGCATGCAATTTTTAGTTTGAAAATGAAGATTCAGTTCAACATCAAAGTTCGTCAAGGAAAAGAAAGTATAATTGAATGTGAAAATAAAATGTAGTTTGCGCACTTCACTCAATGGCGCGCTTTGCGATCGGAGAGGATTCTCCACGAATGAAAATTTTTTGAGGGCTATGAAAACCGAAGAAGTATGAAGGTGAGTCAGGGCTCGGCACGAGCTGGCACCAGGGAAATTTCGAAACGAAGTCCCGTTTGATCTTGTAAATTTCGTACGAAGTCCCCTTCGACCAGTTTTGAAGATAAGTCATTATTTTTGGATTCTGTAAAAGTATGTAGTAGGGTTTTCATGCATGCTGATTCCATGGATCCACTTTTCACAAATTCCTGAGCTTTTTATGTGATTGAATCACATCTTGAGAAGCAGAAAAAGCCGATTTTTCGATTGCGGAGCAGACTGAGCAATTTTAGAATTGCTATAAAACGCTGAAAAGAAAACATTATGAAATTGTTTCTTCCCTGTTTGTAAACTTCTACGGTATAGATACATTTTATGTAAAGTATGAAAACTTATGTGAGCAAAGTGTCGATGCCAGCTCAGCTGGCACCCAGCTGGCACGGTGCCAGCTTATTCAGAAAAAAGTTCGGCACAGCTTTCATTCACATAAGTTTTCATAAATTTTTTGGGCTATAGATCCGGTCCACCAACGCGCATGCACACACCAAATTTGGTGTCATACTATTGCATTTTGGCTGAGAACGAGGCCTTTGTTTGTTGATGGACAGCATGCCGGTGGCAAGCCGGCGGCATTCTTGCGGCACTTCTCCGCCGCGGACCCCGAAAAAACGATATCCCCTTTGCTTCCCGCCCTAAAAACGATATCCAGCTTGATCCGGTGCCAGCTGTGCCGAGCTCTGAGGTGAGTTAGTATAAAAACTTTCTATATGCACAAACAATTAGGCGAAGGACGGAAGGTGAAATTTATGAAAGAAATCAAAGGTAAAGGATAGTAGATCTCAGGCGAGATTTGATAACAATATTCAGTATAGCAAGATTTTTGCCAATATGAAATTTAGCACAAAGAAAGGTGGAACAAAACACAAGAGTGAGTTGAGATGATGAACTGTGCTGTCCTGATGCCACTTAAACATGGCTATACCATAAGCATGCGTATTTCTCACAATTAGAAGATTTTTTATGGTTCCAATATAAGGCTGGCAAGAAAATCTTGGAACCCTTTAAAGAGAAGGTCGATACTTTTCAGAAACTGCTGCATGTAGAAGAGTAAAATTTGTATGTATTCTTTAGTGTATACAATAGCGTTTAGCGGATGGTGGAGATCTGAGGTTTCTTGAAGTTCTTTGTTTTCAAATTTCATCTCCTGCCTCTGATGAAATTGATTATGCTCGCACATAATATGGGCTGCTTTGTTTCGGTGTGCTCCCGTTTGGAACTTGCACGGAAGCAATTTGGCTGAAATATCCCTATAAAACTTCTTGCCAAAATAGTACCATGAATGAAAACTCTTTCGCATCTTTGCCGCGCTTTTCGAAGTCCATACAGGATATGAACGATAACTGAGCGGAAGACCAACCAAGTGGACAATGAGACAAGGAAGTAGCAATGCAGCGGAAAGCAGAGGGAAAAGTTGTCCGCAAAAGAAGAAATTTCTGAATTAGATTTGAGGAAAACAACCAAAAACCAGAGGCAATGTATGCAAAGTACAGATAAAAAGTACATTTTAAAAGAAAAACATACATCGCTGCCTCTATAACACAAATGGCTGCACTATTAATTTATGTCTGTTCAAATTGCACGGAGAACGCATGAAAAAGTGCAGGACAGGGTCAAGATTTTATATGTTAGGACATTAGAAAGTTCACAATTATCGGGCATATAGAGCATTGTCGAGCATTTTCTTTGTTGAAAAAAGAAGCAAATGTAAAGACTAGAGAAAGAAGGAACACACTGCTTTTCTATACCTTACTTCTCTGATTTTCACAATCCATAGGAGTTGACCAAATCATGGCAAACATGCTTCAGAAAAAATTAAAAACCTAAAGTGTAAAGTATCTAAAAATGCATAACCATCTATGAATATTAGAGAGCTAAATGGTCGATAAGATTTATTTTAAATAAGAAATCAAACAATGCAACATGCTATCGAGTAATTTTTGGCAAGGTCGCAAGCCACGATGCTTATCACTCCGCCGTTCAGCAGGCTGTTCGATCGATCTTATTTCTTTTACATCGTGTTGCAAATCCTCCATCGTTATTTTGGGTTACCGAAACATTTAGATACACTTTTTCTAGCTAATGGAAGAGATGGCACTGACATTTTCACAACTTCAGTTTTTTGGTTCCTTTTGCATTTTACTACACAACACCATGTTTTTCAAATGTGAACAGAGCTGAGATTTCACCCCAAATTCTATTTTGATTTCAATCGTTGACATAGATTAAAATGAAACCTTGTTTTGAAGAGTAACTCATTGGATCGCTTCCAAAAGTAATGTCGCTTTTTCGAACAAAGCACACCAGCATAACAGAAATTTTGGAAAGTTTGGAGCTTACGATGCACTTCCTCCCATTTTTAAAGGGTTATGCTTCTATAGCATTTAGTCATTGACCTTTTGAAGGATTACCTTAGCCGTGTTTTGCCACGGTTAATTCAAGATTTTTTAATACCCATCCCGCCGAGTATATTGGGGAAATCCAAAGTTTCTCATCGAATGGATGATTGTCGAATAAATTCGGAAACAAAAATTTTTTGAATAAATGAATATCGATTATGTTCGAACATTGAGAGTAGATTTTGAATAAATATGCGAATGATTTATCGAATATCTGAGCACAACCGTATCTAACTTGCTGACATACCCGGCTAAAGCCGATTTATTCATAATCAGCACCACACCGTCACCCATCTGTGCCAACTCCCACTTCCGTAGCTCGAAATTTTGAAAATCGATAAAATCAATGAAATAGATTTATTCACAATTATTCTCACTTCCTCCTCTGTAACAACTCCGCCCCGTTGCTCAAAGTTTTCCCAAAAATCGATAAAATTGATAAACTAGATTTTTCATCAATCAACGCCCTCATTAATCCCCCCTCCCCCTCCCTCCCAATACCAGCTTCCACACCGTATCTCAAGGTTTCTAAAAATATAAAACTGATAAGGCAGATTTTTTTAAGCTGATCATGGCTTCAAAAAATGCATTATCGAGTTTTGCAGAAGAACGCAAATGAAGCGAGCTCAGCAGTTGACTCTGCACCAAACTGAATAATTCGAATACGTTTTAAAACATTCGAATAAAATTCATTCAAAACCTCGTTTTTTGATAACTTGAACCCTTTGACATTTATTCGAAACTCAGCCTTTCGATTATTTGAGTTCCCTAGTTTTACTCAAAGCCTTTTTTTTGAATATTTGAATATTTTTTGATTATTTGAGTTCTCAAATTTTATTTGAAAATGAAGAACTTCGAGTTTCGAATTTCGAATGTGAAAATATTCGAATGATTTATTCGAGTGATCGAATTTTTATTTGATTCGGACATTTCCCGCCGTACAAACTACAGTCAGTTAGAGAAAACCTGATAAGATTAGATTTCATTACGTTTTGCTCGTCAGCTCTCATCGAATTTGAAAAATGTTTTTCAAAAGCACTGACATTTTGCAGTGAGTGAACAATCGGTGACTGAGTTTCATTTCACTTTCCCGTAGGGCGTTCAACCTTGGCTGTTGTAAGACTCCATTTATCCGATAACTTCCAGCTTTATTTACTCTTGAAAAAGTGATTTTTGAGGTGCTGAAAAGGTAACTTGGTATTATCAAAGGTTCTTGAGAGAAGAAGACTTTGAAAAACTGAAAACTACTGATCAGAAGCAAAAAAAACTATGTATACTGTTAGGTTTGCCTGTCTCGGTTACTTGATCATTGCTGAAGATTTGAAGCAAAAGTTTGTAAAAGTAGCTATATTCAGCACTGGTAGCGGTGGCCGGCTGAGAACTTCAGCACCTTTCTAGTTAGCATTCGATAATTTACATCAAAGTTGCAGTTATGTCCCAGGTATTCTACATTATTTCTGACTTGATCAAAGAATGCGAGTTTACTTTTGTAGTGACTTCATTTTAGGTGATAAACCGCAGAAAAAATTTTTTCCCATAATTGTTTTACCGTATCCATATTGCCGATGTGATAAACAAATAGCAGAAAAGGTAGTAAAATCAACATCAAACAAACGCTGATATTCAAAAAGCCATGGGAAGCTAGTCCACTGCCCATCATTTTCAAATTATAATTTCAACCATTTGATTTTCCGAATCGCTTGGGCCTGAGTAGTATGGAGCAGTGCTTGAAAGAGTAAGTAACTATTTTATTAGCGAAGAATGCTGGAGTTACATAGTTTTGGACACTTTTGTAAACAATTATCGGGTTGTCCCATAAGTTCCTCCGTTTTGAATTTCAACCGTTGTAAGTCATAGATACACTTCTCGTTTCTAGATGCTTGCAACGTACAGAGCTTACAGCACTCCACAAGCTCTGTTTTTCAAAAAATATGGATTTTAGCGTGAATTATTTGCCTTTGGGAAGCTACATTCATTATTTCTCGAAAACTAGAGCTTGTAGAGAGCTGAAAATTTATATATTTATACTTTTATGCTAATAGTACACACTTACTCATGTAGGGACAGCAAAGCATCACTTTGGCAAAAGCATGAAAGTCTTCTTTCCCTTGGTTTCTAACAAAAAATGCGGGAAAGGCGTATGTAACTGTCTTATGGAGTACACATGTGCGCAAGTTAGAATTTTGTACGAGTTTTTGGACGAATTCAAGTTTTTTCTAGATTTTCGGGCAGTTCAATCTTTTTGGTTTTTGGCTTGAAACTCGAAGTGTATCAAAGCTGGTGCAAAAGGGTGGTAGCCATTTTGTAAAGCTTGCTTTGCTCTATCGAATGGTACCTTGCAAAGTATTTAAAAGTGAGAAATGTATGACTTATTGCGGTTGAAATTCAAAACGGAGGGAACTTTTGGGACAGGGTGATAATAAGAAAAATAATCTTTCCTGAATTGCCAGTTGCTGGCAGATCTTCAAAAAATCATTCAACAAGGACCTCATCGAGGATTTTTTGCTTTGATGTCCAGTTTACACAAAACTGCTATTTAAAGCAGCTCAGGACAATAAGTTTTGATCGAAAAGAAAGAGTCCGAATATTTTGACATGGATTGCTGCACCACCAAAATTAGAAACTTACATATACTTAGTACAATACAAGGATTAGAATCTTCATCCAACATAATAATATACAGCAATGAAAGTTATTTATAAATCAAGTCAGTAAAAACGAAAAAATAACAGACGCATCTTGTAATTAAGCGAAAATTGGGGTAAACACGAGGCGATGCCGCCAAGGGAGGGAGAGGGGGGGGGGCTCATGAGAAGACACCTCGCGTTTGTGATACGTCATTTGTAAAGCTCATTCACAATAATATAATTACACTAGAGGCACCAAACCTATTCATCAATCGATAATCGATTTCAAGCAGACAAAAACTGCAAAAGGCAGCGGCGAAAGGTAAAATTTCCTGCTATAAGGGAAAATATACAAAAAAAAAACGGAAAAAATCTAGCATGCAAAAAAGTGGTGAAGGAGAATCAATTCATCACAGACCATCAAAGGGAATGCGCAACGTACACAAACATCAAAAATACGCTGGGGATAACCACGCCCCTGGACAAAAGCGACGGGGCGGAGCTGTCCCAGATACCCATACAGCAATTATTCACAACAAAAATATTCTCGGCAGTACTCAAAATTATTCCGACATCGAATGATTAACATTGTGCGAAATCAAAGCTTGGTGGGAAGATCAACACCGCTACAGTAACACGGATTTTCCACTCAAGACGAGCACATGCCCATTTTTGGCAATTGTGTAAGGCGACGCTTTGCTAGTGCAGACGCGTTCACCGGACGTAAATTTACGGCACTTGTGGTAGTCAATGCACGGTAAGTTTGCTCCAATGCACCCTGAAAGAGGTAACATTTTGCTTGTTTTCCGAACTATGACGTCATCAATCGATACTTACCTTTACAGATTCCACATTGTATACATTGTTTATGATAGTATTTGCTGGTATGCTGTTGCGATGCGTAATCCAAGGATGTTGAAGGATTTGTTTGGCTGTGGGCCTTTTCGACGCATCGACGTCAAGCAGTTTGCGGACGAGGTCCTAAAAAACATAAATTTTTAAAGATCAATAAAAATAGAATGCATTTCTTTCACTGGTTTTTGGTTGACAACGTCTCCAGAATTTGAAAAAAGTTCTTACTTTGGCGCTATCACTGATCTCGGTCCAAGGTTTGCCTTCCATGACAACTCGTCCCTCTCCAACACGTTTCAGAATCTCGTCCGCGGGATCATTCGGTCCCATGGCAAATGGTGTCTGTCCAGATAACATTGCATACAGTAGGACTCCTAATGACCAGACGTCGCAAGATCTATCGTATCCTTGTCGTTTCAGGACCTCGGGCGCAACCTGTTGGAACAATAGTAATTTTAGAATAGATTTGTGGTTTGGATAGGGTAACTTACAAATTGAGCTGTATAGCAGGGTGTCATGAGCATTCCATTTTCAGCTCGGGATTGCTTAGCAAATCCAAAGTCGATAATTCTCAGCGAGTCGGCTTCACATGAAGGAGATGCATACATTATGTTGGACGGTTTCAAATCACGGTGGGCCACCTGAAAAGCAAAATTTTTGATTTTTTGTGCAAAAGTAATGATTCAATTTGGCGAAATTTCAATACTTACTTGATTCGAATGAAGGTAACATACAGCATTGGCTAGGTTAGCCATAGAAGCGGCCGCGTCCCTTTCGCTGAAGGTCTTTTTGGACAAGATTCTGAAATAAATTTTTCATAATTTTGCAATTCTCACATCATAATTCAGATGGACACGTGATGTAAATAAGGTTTGAGGATAGTGTAAAATAACGAGATAAATATTGTTTTTTTTTCCAAAAAATTTTTCTTTGTAGAAATCCATTGAGTTCAACAACAAAAAGTAAAACCATTGCTCTAGTGCCATTTCCCATAATCACGCCGAAAAGTACAACTCTAAACTTTCGCCCAGACCGTAATCTTTCCTAGTTGACCAACAGGCTTTGTAAGAACCCATTTTTTCTTGAAGAAAATTTTCTTTAGTAAATTTCCATTACGTCTAGGCTATATAAAAAACTATTGCTCAAATGCCAGCTCTCATGGTTCAATTACGGTCGGAAAGTATAACTCCGAATTCTCGCCCAGATCGTACTCCTTTTGGACCAACATCGTGCTTGTGAGAAGACAAATTGGTCTGAGAAAGTACGCAATTTCAAATGCAATCATTGTGTTTGTGTGTGTAACCTTTTTCCAAAGATTTTAGTTTTTCTAAATCTAAATATAAAATCTGAAAACTCACTTGTCCAGCATTTCGCCACCCCTACAGTATTCCAACACAAGATTCACATTCGCTTCATCTTCATAAACATCGAATAGCTTTACAATATGCGGATGATGTCCGTGACGTAAAAGGATATCAACCTCTTCAGAAGGATCACAAGCGGATTTTTTGATAATCTAAGAAGTAAACATTCCTTGGAGAAATCAATAAAAACAATTATTCACAAACACACCTTAACTACAAATTCCCTTTTACTCGTTTTCATTACACATCGTCGCACAACCGAGAACGTACCAGTGCCAACTTCCTGCAATAAGAAAAAAATTGCTTTGAAGTAGATTTCTGCTTGTCAAATCTTTCAAGCTATTTGCGAGATTGTTCAGACACCTGTCTGCGGGAAGAAGGGAAAAGAATGACAAGATGGAAGTTTAGTGACATTTTCCTGGAAAAACTTCCGTCAACGACTAATGACAGAAAAACAGAGTTCCGCTATGAACACTTCGCTCAAACGAAGTTTGAGCAGAGGCTAGTAACAGAATTTCCATTGTAGACCCCCTCCCCCCCCCCCGCATTCCAGCCCAGGTATGTAAGTGGTCCCTTTGCTGTCCACCTATCAATCTTTGCCCCCGAGATCATCGAGCAGAGCGGATGTGATGCGGTGTAAATTGACACAGCATATCCGGGGCAGCGATCACCTGTTCAGGAATGCGGGGGGGGGGGGGGGAGTCGAGAAGCATGGAAAGAAAAGGAGAGAAATTTGCGAATTGTAAGGACTTGTCAAGGAGAGAATGAAAAAGAATTTGTTAAGTAAAAAATCACAGACCTTTTGGATCTTTTAACACAGTTCTTTATTTGTGATACATTTCCTGAGGGAAACTCCATTTCTTTTGCCCTTCGATATTCGCTGCTACCCTCCCTTTTTTCCCCCAAAAACCCCCTCTACATTCGGCTTTAAGATGATGAAGATGACCACAAATCATTAGCAAGCACCGAAGCTCGCGAGAAACGCGAGCGACAACTGCCACTTGTCCCCGACTAACATTTACAGATCAACTTCTCGCCTCATACATTCATGGACTGGACAACTAGCACACAACATCTCGTATGAATAGTAAACACACACCTCTTTCAAAATGTAGTCATCGGTGATGGGATGCGTCTTCGCTGTAGGGATTGTGCGCACTTTTTTCTCATCCTTCTTTTCATCGACCACAGCCGGCGAAACAAAGGAGAAACCACGGAAAAGTTCATGAGCTGCGGCCGATGGTGGCACCGCTGGTGAATCTGAAAAGAGAAAGGATAAGAATGGGATATAAAGGACAAAAAAGTGTTGTTTTGCTTAAAAAATAACTTTTTTTAAGACTGCGAAGGGAGTGGAGGAAAACAGAGCGGTCTGCAAATTGAAGGTGGCGTATAAGTCTTACGAAATTTCATAAGTAAATCCGTTTATATATATTGAAAATTATATTGTCAGCTGAAACATATGCTCTGCTCGTCAGTTAAGTACAAGGAATTTTTTACTCAATTATTGAATTTCCTTTATATTTTAATTGCTTTACTGCATCGTTACATTGAATGCCATTATTTTTCGGCGATCAATAAAGTGTGCCGAAACAGCATGTACGGCAAATTATCTAAAATACTTTATTAAATTTTCTAAAATTTCATTCCAACTCGCAAGCCACTTTCCAACCACACTCAAACAAAAAAAATTTTTCCTGTCGCGCTCTCCCCACCCAGATAAATTTTTCCACAACGGTCACTGCTGTCTTCTCTTAACTAGCTCAACATTCTCAACACAACATTATTTTTCGCAAAGAAACTACCATTAAACGATTTTTGATTTTTCAGCTTTGAGCTTTTGCACAATAAGGGCTCCTAATTGCTCTCCCCCCCCCCCCCCCGGCCTATCCTCTTATTGAATGACGTATCCATGACTATTCATCAACACACCTTATTCGAGCCTATCACGTTACGTAAATGGTCGCTGCATCGGATATAGGCGGCAATCAACGATCACCAAAGACGTAAGAGATTCTCAAAATTGCATAGATTGTTTTGATTTGAGCAATTTTGCACCTACCTAGTGGGGTACAAAAATTTCATATGAAGCTCTATGTATGTAGCTCTGATTTTGGTGGAGAAAAAAAATCAGAGGAAGTTTTAGGAAAGCACTAAAACGAAAGTGGGAGGCGAAAACAGAGTAAAATTGATGTAACGTTTACTTCAACGAAACAAAGGCAAAATAATTCAGTAAAATATCTGAAACGGCAAATTTTCTTTTCTTTTATCTCATATTTTGACCTCACCTTCCCTTTTTATTACATAAGGATTTTTTGGTGATAAAGAACCAGGCATTTTTTATCTGCCAAGAAAAATTGATTGCGCCTTAAACTCCCCGGAATTCCGCATAATTAGTTAGAGTACTTGACTTACGCGCCACGAATACTTACAACCTCTTCTCAGTACATACTTTCTTCGTCATAGTTCAAATTGGGTGCATACATTTTAGGAGTAGAATATTCTAGATTCGGCAGAGCACTAATGTCACTAGTAAGGACACTATGTACAACTAATTCTATTTTCTACACGTAACTAACATTCCGAGTAGCTTCCGGGAGGGGGGGGGGGGAAGAAAACAGCCTGCAAAAGTACAGTGCATCAAGAACGTTGGCATTCGTATGCATGGCTAACGTGCAGACATGACGTGAGTAGTGAAAAATAAGAAATGGGGGGGGGTTAGTGACGTCAATCGGAGAGATGCACTACTATTTGTAGAATCTGGAGACGTAAGGACTTTTTTAATGAGATGTAGGGGTTCACTAATAGAAAGGGCAATTAGTGATGCAAAAGTAGAGTTTTTGTTAAAATTCCGAGTTTTGTCATGGTGTAATTACAGTAACCTATTCGCTTTGGGACCACATCATTCTGGTATATTGTAGCCCTTCCTACATTGTAGCCCTTCCACATAATGAAGACATTTGTAGCCTAACCTTTCCTTGAACGCAGAAATTTCTCGAATGACTCCAAAAAGTTCGCATAGAACCAGTCCAAAAGCCCTATTACGTCCATTGAGCGCAGTGCGATGCGCGCGACAAACTATGTCCTCAGGGCTCGGCACGAGGTGGCTAGATGAAAATGGAAAAAACGAAGTCCCCTTTGACCCTCAACCAAATTTCCTCTAAAAACCTGAAAAATTCCCCAAAATCCCCCAAAAAACGAAACGTCGACTAAAAAAAAAAGGTCGCCGTCGCCAATTTTCCGTGTCTCTTCGGTCACAAAAACGAAACCCCCTTTGCTTTTCGTCCCAAAAACGATATCCAGCTTGCTTGTAAGCCACCTCGTGCCGAGCCCTGTATGTCCTCGTTCTCAGCGTCGAAAAAAGCGCGCCTTTTTTGCTTTGGAGCGCGTCGTGCACGTCACGAGACCACCCTTGCACGATCGAATCATTGAACGAACGATTTCTGGAACCGCATTTTCCTTGAAAAGTGCTATTTTTAGTTTCAAGCACGGCTGCATTGCACCGGAACTTGCAAAAGTGCTTATCAATCAAAGTCGAGATTTTTCTCCCTTAGAAAATTTGCAAGCACTTCTACTTGGGGCGATGAACCAACGTAGGCTATCTGTCTCTCGAGAAAAACGTGCTAAATGTTTCCCGTCAAGAGCAAATCAAACTTGGGAGCACCCAGAGTGACAAGCAAAGCAAAGGTTAGGGCACTCCCTGTTTGAGTTTCCGCTGAAGTGGGGCGATTTCAGTTGCTTAGTGCAATAAGGGAACAAAAATCATCCAAAAAAATTGCATTGTGTAGATTTTTTTGGAACTCAAACAGGAGTTACTTCGATTTATTTCCATCAAAATCGCCAAATTCGAGCTATACCGTTGCATATTTCTGGGATAAAAACCCGACCATCAAATGTGCAAGTTTTTCTTTACATTCTCATATATACATGTTCCCTACATATGGTAATACGTTGTTTGAACAAATTAAAAAAGGAATTCTAATTGTATTATTAATTATTAATTATCTTTAAAATTTTTGAGGCGCCTAAGATTATTCACAACTACAATTTGTAAAACTTACACACTATGTCTCTCGCCATAATTATAAAGATTGATGTTCTCAAACCAAAATTTCTATCCAAAAGCAAAATAGCATTCAAAAGATTTTTTGAATTAATTCGCATTTAGAAAGCAATTATTCATTGAAAATCATGCAATATTTTAAATATCCTTTTGCTTATTTTAAATCTAAAGCTATTTTTGCGCCACAAAGTTCTCAAAAGGTAGGTATTTAATCTTCAAATTTGCTATATTATTTTCTTGTTCATTTAATGCCTTAGTTTAATTTTTTGACACAAATCCCTCAAAAATTAGATATTCAATCCTCATACGTATTCCACAATCTTCTGTTATCGAAAGCCTTCACCCTCCCTCCCCCCCCCCCCACTCTCTTCACGAACAGAAACAATCATCAGTCATCTCATCGAAATGATACGATATGCAAATATCCGTGGATAGATGAGAGACATTTGTTCCCCCCCCCCCCCATCAACATAGCCAGTGTAAACTCCCATAAAATTTGATTGAACTAACCTTTTGGAGTTCTTTTTGTAAATTCTGGATCAAAGTACAATGTACTATCGATAGTTGTCACAGCAGGCTTAAATGGTGGTGAAATTTCCTTGTTTAATAATCGATTAAAATCGATTGATGCAAAGAATGGATGTCGTTTGATTTCCTGAAAAAGAAAAATTATTTACAGTGAAAATTGGAGTGCTAAAAAACAAAATACTGACCTCAATGCCATCTGGCCCAGCGCCAAGTCGATTTACAGCATTACGTTTGAAAAGCGCTCGAAGGAGCGATTGAGCTTCAGGGGACAAAAATTGTGGCATGGTGAGTTTGGCTCTGTAAAATTCAGAAAATACAAACTACAGTAATCTAAAAATCCTTAAAATGTCTCTTAACCCTGGTGCAATATCAAAGATCAATCCATAAATTTTTCCCCGACATTTGCAGACATCTACCAGAAACTAGAACCGCACCCTTTCTCACAATCATCATCGTCCTTGCAAATTTTTTGCCCCCCCCCCCCCTCTCCGAGGAGAACGCGACACATTCATCTTGACTTCAATGAAAAGAACGCAGCGATGCGAACATAATTCATAGGTTTACTGAGAGTTTGTCATGGAAACGCCATGAGTCGGCGCCAAATAAGTAAAGAATTTGCAAATATTTATCGTCATATCACCGCGAAAAAATTTAGAGATGTAGGGCTTCGATTTTTTGCCCCCCTCCCTCGCCCTTCGAAAAAAATCCCCGTGTCTCACGTGAAAATATTGCAGACACCTCAAACTAGAGCTCAGGTTACTTGGCAATATGGCGACGACAGCAGCGCGTTGCACAGTTGCATTATTGCAAAATGTCGCTCATTTTCACGGACAACTGTCACAAAAAACTATGACAAGGCCAGTAGGATAGGTGAAAAAATCAAACGTACTTTAGAATTTGCGTCATGGTGTCCTTTCGGTCATGTCCTTGGAAGGGTAAATGTCCGGTAAGCATCTCGAACTGCAAAAAGATGAATTAGGAGAGGATGCTGGAAAAAAGTGTATTTTTTCAGAGTTTTTTTTTCATTTGCAGAGAGTAGATGGCGATAAATCAGGTTGACGGATAAGTTCCGTTACAAGGTTGAATTTCGTCGGCATTAAAAAGACGAAATCTTCTATGAAAAAATTCAAAAACCATTTTCGAGTTTTCGGAACTTCCCACACGATGAACATGAATGTAAAATTCTCAAATTTTTGAAAATTTGGAAATTTGGAAATTTTCTGGTACTTTTTAATCTTTTTTTCTAAGACGACTTTTCTCTAAACACATCAAACTGTTACTACAGAAGAGACTGCGTAGATCACATTTTAAAGTGCTGGGGAAAATATTATAAGGGGGGGGGAGCAGAGAAAAAAGTTCAAAGAAAAATGAAAATCTTTATATGTTCACAAGACTGCCGTAAATCTGTTGGCTATGTGTGTATTTGCGGTGATGACCATGCCATTGAGTAGACCGGTAAACCCTGGATATTCTTTAGAGTCTGTCCAAAAACTGAGGTTTTCGGAAGGCTTCTTTAGATTTTTCAGCAAATAAATTTAGAACACGGGAGATTTTCAAAATTCTCTGCTCCTTTTCTTAGCCTTCCCACAAATTCTTTAAAAAATTCCAATTTTCCACTCACATCAGATATAAAGCAAAAATTTTAGAAAATTTTGGGATTTTTTAGAGTTGTCATAAAGACATTCTTCCGATTATCTATCAAACTTATACAGTTACTGTGTGTGCAATAGAGACCCCAGAAAAGCTCTGAAAATATTTCCTAGCTGTGACAAAATTTTTTGATTCCTCCCCCCCCCCCCTCCCCCGCAATCTCTCCTCGCAATCCTACTTTTAGCGCTACTAGTCACCAAATTTTTTCTCATCATCGGACAACTCATCCACAACCCCAATGCGTCATTGTTAGCTTTTGACGTCATGGGGCACGAAACCGATCACTCAAAATCGCCGTGTCGCGACGAGGCAATAACCAAAGCCTACGACAAACATCAGCAGTTCCCCCACCCCTTCCCACTCCCTTCGAGTTTCTGGGCCCATTCATCGTCTTGAACGAAGAGTTGGAGTTCTTGAGCAGTTCAGAGATCTTGAGGCCTCGATCTCTGGCACAACTGTAGCTGTTATTAATCGCTCGTCGACGGCTTGGTGTGGACTAATCGTGTTTCCCGTACGTATGGGAGAGCTCAGATCTTTGTTTACCGGTTTTGTTTACCTAGTATTTTTACTAGGGGTAAACAGGTATATAACTCGTAAATTGGGGCCTAGCTATAATTCACGCAAATATGAAGCCTGAAAAAGGGGAAAACACTATTTTTCTAAGCTACAAGGCAGCAAAACTATCTCCTCATTCATCTCCGACATATCGTTCGCTTCACTGATTCATCAGACCCCCGAGAATGGTTGGCCAACAACGGCCAGACGAGGCAGTGGTGCGAACGAGAATGGGAGTTAATTTGGCCGAAGAGGAGAGCACGAGAAAAAAGCACATGGAAAAACGGGCATTTGGGAAACCACAATCAGCTCAATGAAGAACGATGGGCATGGAAAAGCAAAAGAAAAACAAACAAGTTGAAACCAAAAAAATTGGTCACTTTTACTTCGTGATTCAATATACTAAAAGCGTTCTGCCACTTTGAAAAAAATTAATTTTGTTTAATATGCCTTTTTGTACAAAATTTTAGAAAATTTTTTGGGTCTATTATCTATTTGTAATCTAGCTTATAGTGAGGTTAAAAATATGCATTCTAATTAGACAGAAAAATTTAAACCTTTGAAAATCACCTTTTTGAGAGTTTATAAGGACCATCATACATTAGAACTTTGTTTCTCAACGGTATTTACTTTTTATAAGAATAGATTTTTTTACCTGTCCAGAAGCTATGGTCACAAGACGCTACTGAATATAGATATAATTTTTATTTTCACAGTTTTCAAAAATTTCATTCTATTTTTATATTTTTTTTGATTTAGGGTCCGCCCTTGTCCCAGTCGCAAAATCAGTTTTTGCCCTAGTAAAGCCCCATCCATGAACTTAATCTCACTAATTGACTTCACTTATCCAATTACTAAGGCAAACTCACCATTAGAACGCCTAACGACCAAAAATCAGCAGCACACGAATGTCCGCGTCGATTAATCACTTCTGGAGCCATGTACTCGATGGTACCTGAGGATTACGAAAAATCAATATATCGATTAGAGAACTAGTAAAGTAATAACGATACCTACCACAAAAACTGTAGGTTTTCTTCTCATTATCGATTGATTCCTTACTGAGACCAAAATCGGTGACTTTAATGTGGCCATCGGCATCTAATAGAATGCTAAAATCATATTTCATTATATTTTATCCAGATGAATTTTTTGGTGCCGTGTCAAATCTTAATCTTACTTTTCTGGTTTCAAGTCTCTGTACACTATTCCAAGGGAATGTAGATGCTCGAGGGCAAGAGTAAGTTCAGCTAAGTAGAATTTAACATCATCCTCGGTGAACATCACCTAAAATGCAGACATTTGCGCGTTACAGTATACACATCAACACTTTTGGTTTGGGGACCAGTTTTCGTCGAGGTGCCAGATCTCGCTTAGTGTGAAAAATTATATGGAGTTCACTCAGAAAGTGGATCGCTATTTCTACCGTACGAACTGTTTAGCTAAAACTATACACCAACACTTTTCGTTTGGGGACCAGTTTTCACTTTATGCCGAAATAATCTGTGAAATTACTCACCTCTTTAGATAGTCGTGTGAACAGATCTCCACCTCGTAAAAAGTCCAATATCAAGTACAGCTTGCCCTCAGTTTGAAAGGCTGAAAAATGAAAATTTTATAAGAGATCAAGAATTAGTGCCACTAAATGCTACTCCAGAATATCCTCATTTCCAGTTATAGATCAAAAACTGCTGATAACGTTCGCATGTCAAACTCTACGGGCGTGAACTGGTCCCCAGAGAAATGGGCACACCTCGAAGATCATATGGGTGTTGTTCTCATAGGACTTGGTGAGCATTAAAGGACCAAAAGTCACAAATGCGAACTCGTTCTAAGCAAAGACATCTCCACCCTCTTCTCCCACCCCCTTCCCCCCCCCCTCCCTAATGGTTCGTGAAATTTTAAGATATTCCCCACACGCGTTACAAAGATGTGCAGATGACTTTTTATACTTTAACAGTAGAAAGAATTATTTTGAATTTTTCGAATATTCAAATTAGTTTTGTAAACTCTTCAAGCCCTCAAAAATTTTCCTAACAACCCAAGATGTTTTCAGAACGGCTTGAAACTTTATTCGAATACTTTTTTTGTCACGCCCACATCTCGAACGATATTTCATGAACCGCCAGTGGCCTTAAATCTTTATACTAACACACACCCACATACACGAAACCATTGTTTTTTTCCCCTTGCGGAGTCAGTCAATAGCTTCAACCAACCCCCCCCCCCGTTTTCCATTAGACTGCAAAGGCCGTGCAGTTACTTTGCAGTATTAGCCTTGTAATACGTGACGAGATGATGTGAAGCATAATTGGAGAAGGGGGCAAATCGATAACGAGGAGGGGAAAATGAGCTTTGCAATTTTCTGCATACTGCATAAATGATGTCAATGTGCATTAGTGAAGCTAATTTTAGAGTTTTTCGGGGAAAAAAGGCTCGAAAATCGAGAATGTGGAAATAGAGGAAGGGGATGACGCAAATCCGCAAGGAACTCGTTATTTAGAGCAACATTTTACACAGCCACAAACTTTTCAAAACTTAAAAATTATCCTGCTTCTTATGTGGGAATATCGCAGCTTCAAAGCTGTAGGAAAGATACTTAAAATCTTTTTTTTATCTTTTTATGGACTGTCAGACAGCTGGAGAACCTTAGTCGGTATAATTAACCATTTTGTGAAGGCAGCAAAAATAGAAAATTCTACAAATCTGAAAAACTAATCTTTTTGTCTTAAAAAGATTTTTAAATAATCACTAAGTCAAATTTTTCTACTTTTTGGTATCATTTGCCCATCACGCTTAGTTCAAGAGCCATAAATTGTTTTCAGGAAGTTTAAAACTTCACAATACGTGAAGCAGATGAAGAAACAGTTCTTATCCAAACAAAAAAGGCAAAGAAAGATGCATGCATTTTCAAAAAAATAGCAAAAAATGTCCTATGCATATAAAATTGGTCTAAACACCATTATCCCAAGAAAATGTATGCTTATACTCCTTCAAGACTTTATTATGCTCTACTTATGCCCAAATGCACTCTAATAGACCGATATCGGCCCCATTTTTAGGCTAACAGCTTCCCCACTCCAAACCTTTTTAGGCTTTGTTTTTCGAAAATTTCAGCACCATTATAACTAATACCCTCCAGCATGTGAATATCATGATTACAAGTGTTTCGGGTACAGCTGGAGGACTTCCTGCGGATCAGTGAAACAGACACATCAATCAGTGTGTTTTCGATAAAATCTCAGCTGAAGCGGATAACATGATAACATAATTTATGCCCGATCATCGAGCAAGTGAGAACTTTGTACTTCAGGGCGAGGACATTAGTCTGAGATAAAGAAAGACTGAGATGAATTATGAAGTATACATCTGTGAAGAAAGGGGGGGGGGGGGAAATGGTAGCGCGTTCAGATTTTATAAAATAGCACATGGCAAGAAAAAATAAACGTATTGCTCGACGAAAGAGGAACCAAAAATTTATTTGAACTTCAATTTCATCAAGTACGCTAAAAACGCTTTACCAGAACTTGAAAAAAAGTTATAAGACTCTTCTTCATAGATATCCCAAACAAAAATTCTCTTCTAATATCTGGATTTTTTATTTGAAATTTTGTAATTATGGTCTGAATTCTCTACGTGTTAAGCTCTCTAGAATGATTTTAAAATTCAAATCTTTTTTAATTATGGTGTTTTTGATCTAAATCACCACAAAACTTCTTTCAAATCGATATTCTTTTCTGAATCAGATTTTTGTGGTTTCATAACTCGCTAATATTTTTCCCAAAATTCCTCATTTATCTTGAGAATCGAATTCTCAATTTTTTTATAAATCTGAATGGCACCCTGAAGTTTCCTCAAGTTTTTCCGTGAATCCTGTTGCGGAATTTCTTTCATGGTCATAATTGAAACTTAATAATTTACTTCATAACTCTCCAAAAATTAGACTCTACATTATTGATTTTCAAAAAAATTCTTCAATGAATAGATGCATCCCAACGGTTTTTCCCAACCATAAAATCGTTCTTAAATAATCATCTCGGAAGTTTTTCCGTCACTTTGTCGTAAAATAACACATTCATAATTTTTGAGTTCGCATAAAATCCGACCTCATCTCACCCCCTCCCTCCACCTATGACATCATCGAGTCAATTTTTACACAACAAAAACACAGCTCTTGGCTAGAGTTGTCCTTGGCTCGAACAATTAGAGCTGTAATTTAGACACGACGCGGGTGGATGGAAGTGAAGTGTCTGCGTGTGGAATTTGATTACAGCCAATGTACGGAGGAGATGACGATGGCACAACAAGGATGTCGTGACAATTACGAGGGTGGTATGGCAACGTCACGAGGAGAGCACGGAAAAATTCAGAAAATTAAGGAAAAAACTAACCGTAGTGAAGTTTGACGATAAATGGATGTGAAATGTGGGCAAGTATGTTTCGTTCCATTTTCGTACGTAGACGATCACGAACTTTGAGCGTTGCTTTTTTCAACACCTAAAATGGAAGTAGAAATCAAATTTTCGTGATTTTTTGGAAATCTGCCAACCTAAAAGTCCTTATCTAGTTTTAAACTTTCTCTTACAAACATAACTGATAATGGCTAGACTACAAAAATGTATTTAAAAAAAACTGTGGAATTTCATTTCTTCTGCTCAGCGTGATGCATAAACATCGTCAAATGTTTGTTGCTTTACATGCTATTGCACACCATGCGCACTATTTAACGACTTGTGAGGTTGGAAAATGCTCATTGCTTAATTTCTCCTTGTCCTTGTCTCCTTTTGATTTATAGGATATGTATTCGTTGTTAGCAAGCATTTCTACTGTTTGCTACATTTGAAAAGGTGTGATCCAGGAATTCTTTGCAAGGGTGTCGTCGGTTGCCGCGCATGGTGTGCAGATTCACATAGCAAGTTACAAATGAATCGAGGATGCATCACAAACTTGCAGATCACAATTTTTTTCAACGCTGCGCCAAAGAACACTTCAAAAAGACAAGTGTAGTGTAAATAATTTTTATGTAATCACATGTTAGTATGGAATTCTCAATTATTGACTTTGAACCAATAAATTGACACAAGCGATACAGATTACGGTATTACGCCCCCACCTTCATTGCGTATATCTGTCCGGTGTCACGTCCTCGTATTTTTCGGACCAAAAACACTTTGCCAAATGAACCTTGACCAAGTACCTATAACAATTTTACAGTAAGCCATTTATGGTATACAAAGCAGGTTTCAAAAGCAGCGGAATAACTGTACCTTGAGCAATTCGAACTGCCTGGCGTCGGCTTTTTCGCCGCATTTGCGGACTTCACCAATGTCGATTTCAGCCAACGTGTCCGTCTAAATGCAGAAAATTATGAATTTTTGCTACACAATAACTGATTGATATAATGAACAACTCATAAAAATTTAAAAAGTGATGGTCGAGTCAAGGAAGGAGGTGATGATGAGAAGAAGAAATATTTAGGAGTTTCGTGGTGGTTTTTCACAATAATACTCAGAAATATTGAACAATTACACCAGTTACGTATCGATGTTCAGATCGAAAACTTCTATAAACTCCAACATAGGAATACTTTTGACCTAATGCAGAAAATGCGGAACGCTAGATCCTTATGATCATATAAGATCTATCGTATGTGAAACAGGACTTTGTGAGAAAAATTGTGTACTTTACGTGAGAAAGGAATCTCACTAAAAATATGCACCAGATTCAAATCAACAAAATTCGCAGTTATTTGTGAGAAAAAGTCGCAGCGAAAAAAAAGCGCAAAAAAGCTTTCGTTGAGCTTTGAGTGCTCAGTACTATACAAAAATAATTTCGTTATAATTTATAACTGCAAAAAATGCAAATAAAAAATATTAATTTTCATGATAGATTGAATGATTAATTAGCTAAAAATTTTTGTGGAAAAGCAGCCTTTTTTTTTACCAGCACATAATTTCGAAAGTTTCGCAGCTTCACACGTTTTTCAAAAATAAAATTACATAAACTTTTCCACACTCATCGGTATAAGTCAACCCCCCCCCCCCCTCCATAACAAAAATCACCTCAACCTTTACCTAAACGCATAATGCTTTTATCCTGCAAGCCACAATTGAGTTACATGCATTGTCAACAGCACTTACCTAGGTAACTGAACACCCTTCTCAATCAGCGCCCCCTAGCTCCTCTATGACGTCATTTCTCCAAAATAACCACACACAGCCTTTATGAAAAGCCTCAGGCATTGATTAAGGCAGACGAGAATGGCTAATGGGGCTATGTGGTCATGGACCCCCCCCCCCCCTGCCTCATCTCCGAAAATATCATAAAACGTGAGCGACCACTTCATCTCATTTCAACGACGCCTAGGCTTTCAAGAGCCCGGAGGGGGGGGGGTGGGGCTTTAGAAGACCGGGTTTGAAGAACGCGCACATGGCGCGTCACAGAGGTGAAAAACGAGAAGCGCCGAGAACGGACGAAGCTCATTATGCTAAGGGGAATGAGCGAGATTGTAAAGGGGAGAAGCGACTATGAAGGAAGGGGGAATTTCGAAGCAAATGGAAAATTTTAAAGAAGGAGAGTTCAGAAAAGAAAATTCGAAAATTAGAGTGAAAATGTCGTATTGCAGATGAGGGCTTCAGACAACAGAAAACCTTCAAAATTCCCTAAAAATTATTTTTAATCAAACGGATATCAACTATAATATAAAGTTTCAAGAAAAATGATACGTAGGAAAAATAAGGGAAAATTCAAAAAACAGTTGAAGAGTTATGAGTGCTGATGAGAGCTCCAGATTTGGCAAAAGTTTTAGATCTCCATTTTCCAATATCAATAAATAATGACTTTGAAAATGCGAGCAGAATGATCCGTGAAAATGCGAAAAATTTAGAATTTTTCTCCATTCAGCATTTTCAAAATTTCTACTTACAGCGTTCTATCTTATAGGAGATAATTAAGATGCTAAAAATTCTAAAAGAGATATAAAACTCTTGTGAAGAAGATGATTTTCTATTTTAGAGCTAGAAATTTTTGTGCTAAAATTTTCCAGAAACCCTAAGAAATTTGCGGAGTTGATTGAGTCATGCCTAGACAGAACAAATCCGGTTTCCAAGCAGGAAGTTCAATCAAGTACCAACGGGGTTGTAACAGTAAATCTGAGCTTTTAGCATTCAGCTGATTTATGAAGGCAGTAATTTATGTGGTCGCTTAACCAGTAATTTATGAGCAATCAGAAAAATTACTAGCTCTTAGAGTAAAATTTTCGGGATTACATAGCTCACACTACAAAAACACTAAGAGAAAAACCTACCAATGATTTAGTTTCCATCATGTTTGCATTACTAATCACTGGTTGTGGATTTTCTGCAATCGCTATACCCATCCTATTACGGTATTAAACCTCACAGGTATGGTAGTGGAAGAATGGGTCCGGCACAGATTTAGGGTACAATATGCTAGCAATAAATAATAGCAATATGAGATTGTTACAGCTGTGTGAATTCTGCTAGTTCGAGAGCGATAGGAGATGGCGCAGCATTCGTCGGAGAGTGGGCGGAGCCGCAGTGACGCGGATCGCCGTCGGCTCCGCCCATAAACGTCATTGGCCACGCCCATTCTGGAGGGCAAAAAAAGAGGGCAGAAAGAATGAGGAAGTGCATCCGGATGCATGATGAGGGGGGGGGGGGGAGAGGGAGAGATAAATGCAAATTGGTTCGACTCGTGGCGCAAAATTTACGACTTCCGTGTGCAAATGCACTTTTTCGCTGAAAATTTTGCACAAGTTATTTTTCCCTCTGTGGATCAAGGCAAAAGAATTTTCTCAGAAATTTTCTTAGAGCTTAGCTCTCACTGACTTTCCCAGCGAGTTAAGAAGAATGCGCTTGCGGAACAGCTTTGTGGCTTAAGAAAGAAGAAAAATTCTGGCTGTGACGCACACTGACGAAAGCAGAAAGCAAGCAATACCAAAAACGTTTTGACGAAAATTCTTGCTGGCATGGGATGAAAGTTCTTATGTTTTCTGCAATTTCCGGTTTTGACATTTATAACGGCATTTATAGACATGGGAAATTCTCAACATGAAAGAAGGAATTCGCTATGATTTGTGAGAGATTCGCACCATTTTGTATTTCAATTATGTACATATCTAAGCTAATTATAAAGAAGCTTAGAGAAATTGGCATGTTTTCAAATATAAGAAGGATATATGTATCATGAGGACTTTCTTAGTTCATAAAAATGATTTTCCAAGCATGTTTAAAACTGCGCCAATTTATGCCTCAGAATAAGTTCTTGAATTTTTAAATCTTTTTAGAAAAATGCAGAGTTGCTGAAACGCTGAGGTGAAAAAAAGGTGTCCTTGGTTTCGAGTTAGTAACAAAATTTAATTTGTTGTCGAACAGATTCTGAGATGGAGACTTCGTTGGCCTAACGTTTATTGGCTATGCCCAGAATCTAAGACAAAAAGCATTTGAATTTGAACTTTTCCAGAAAGTTCTAATTTCATAAATATGTTCTAGGAAGTTTGGAAAGAACATTCCCTGAATTTCATTCTAATGGTAGGCTATAAAACTTTTTTCTAACTTGATGATTATTATCATCAAATATTCATGAAATGAATTTTTTTCTAACGCCCACTTCCGGAAAAATAAAATTAACATAATTCAAATGACGTGATTTTGAGGCTATGCTATCGTCGTAATACAAAGTACTTAAAGAAAAAAGGAAAGTGTTTTATAGAAAACAATAATTATTTTTTAAAAAAACAATAATTTCAATAGAGTAACTGAAATATTTTCTCAAGAAATAATGATGTAACCATCAAGTTGTACGAAATAGTTGGAAATTTGACTGCACGCACGGGAAATTTTCAAAGCTTCTAGTAGGCTCCTTCATATTTTCTACACTAAGGAGCTTTGAAAAGTACTGTTGATTTTTTTCTATTTTTTGAGATTTATCGATTGCTCTAGAAGATAAGCAATCAATGAAGAATATGATGTATTCCGCATTTTTTTTCAAAGCTCGAAGCGAAGATAGAGAAATATCAGCTGATGATAGATGATATCAATGATAGAAACTTCGAGAATCGTCTTTATGGAATACACTTGCTTGGAAAGTTTTTTTTCTAAAAAAATGGCATTTGCAAATATCACACGACCTTTCGCCACTCTTTATCATCTTTATGGCATCATTAACTATTAGTTATTACAGTAATTCGCTTTGTAACCATGCAAACCAGAAAAGTTTTTCTTTCCAACCAGCAAATCAGCCGCAGAATGCAATAACTGCAGAATTTTTCAGTGCACGTATTTGGCCAATAAACTTTTCAAAGAAACCCTTTGTCAAGCTAATCGAATCAACGTTTGGCCAGTTTTTTAGCGCCATTGTCTCTCATGGAAACTTTTCGAGCGGGGGAGAACGAGGGGGGGGGGAATGGTTCGTCTTCGATGGGGTTTATATCATCAGTGTGTTTGGGGTGCAGGATTTTCTGCAAAGAGAATCGTATTTCCATTGACGTCAAAGGAACGTTTTTCTCTCAAAATTTCTGCAATTTATAGCACTAAAGGCAGTCAGTCAACCATAACAATAAACTCGACTCGATTATCATTTATATTTTCGTGACGAAATACCTTTTTTTTCAAAAAGAAGCCATAAATTTCGGCTGTAGACGTCATTGCATCAAGGAATTGGCTCCAAAAATGGAATGGAAATATTATAGGTTTCTTTGACGGCAAAGTTTATCTCTAGAAAGTTCCACCTGTCTCGGATATAGAACAGAAAGTTGGCATCATAATGCTTGCATTTTAGATGAAGTTCAAACATCAAAACGTAAAGTGACAGCAACGCTAAAAATTCTATCTTTTAATATGCATATTCATGTCCCATCGAGACCTCTTTGAGGTGAAAAATGACGTCATTTGGAGCAAAGCTATTTGCAGAGGGAAGGAAATGTATTTTCCCGGAAAAGATTTCGGTTAAGATTAGGCGCTTTGACAACGACTAACACGACGGCCGAAACCGTTGAATGACGTCGAGAATGAGGGTATTTGCGTCATTTAAGGATCAAAATAGCTTGGAATAGGCTTTTTCCAGAGTTCACACATTTGCCAAAAGACTAAGAAAGGATTTCGTAAGCAAAAATTTTTTTTCATAAAAATTATTCGAACTAACAATGTTTTCGGTTATGTTAACAAAATTCATATAGAAAATTTATTTTAGATAAAGACATTTGTGATCTTTATTTCTAACCAAAGGTGTGTTCTTCCCTACATAATTCAAAGCTTAAAAAATTGTTTAATTTATATAAAAAGATTACATATTTGAGTTACAAGCCCCTGTAACTTTATGAACTAAGATG